GACCTAACACGGACATATTATAAAATGGGGAATAATCAACGAAAGCCACTGAAGTGTTTTTAGTGTCATTGCTGATTTTAATACAAAATTTAAGTGATTCAGGACACTGCATAATTGAGACTTTTCCAAAGCTGGGCTGCAACAGCCATTTTGCGGAAGATGTTGACTTCGTGTTTGCCATCTTCAAGAACACCATCAAAATATTAATTTTACCAACCTATCTTACAGTTCATAAAACAGAACAGATTTCAATTTTCTTTTGGTGAGGTGTAGACCTAAACCTTATCACAACAAAAACACCGATTAAAATTCGTTTTTCGTACAAGCATAAAACTGAAATTCTCAAAAAGTCAGATTTTTTCCTTAAAGAATGTTGTCAACCTAATAACACATTGAAGGATCATTTTTGATGCAACCAAAACTAAGTATCATATACTACAGTATACATGTAAAAATATATTGCTATGGTCAGTTATCAGATATTTACAGACAAATCAACAGCCGGAAGCCATCTCAAGTAATGATATTTTCCAGACAAAAATGTATTCATCTTAGAATAAAAGTGTCTTATAACTTTTGAATACCAAATATATTTTGCTTATAGAAGGTCTAGGTCATGAACTACCAGTGACAAAAATATCAATCCAAAATATGTGGTTGAACATATTCAAAGAAGGGATCAAATGATCATATGGTCTATACATCAGAATTCATGGCTATGTGTATGGTCTATTCATTATGACTGAACTGAAACTTACAGAAAAGAAGGAAATATTTGTTCCGTTTTAAATGGAATGAATATTTGATAAACAAAGAACATGTTTCGAAAAGATTTGTTGGTATATTTCTTTTCAAGATGGCCACCAAAACATTCATTCTACTGCCTAATCAGTTGTCAGATTCCCATACAATTTATTGCAATATAAATGGAATTCAGAGATGTTGTGTTTGTTCGATACTTTGTTTTCATATATTTATTAAAGTTTTATGCCGTATTAACAGCTGATGACATTTATAGATAATGTTTTGCAAGACGCAAGAGTATGATATGTGTTCGATGGCAGACTTGGAAAAGGAAGGAAGAAAAACAAAAATTCGAGGTTTTGAGTTTGTATTCAAACTGGTGATTTTAGGTTTACAAGAAAACAACTTATTTCAAGATTTGTCGGAACATCTTAGCCCTTTGGTGCAACTGTTTTGGATTTTAAAGAATTCTAAAATGGCCAAGATAATAATGGATAATAATGGATACTTGATGTATGAGCACACATTCCCATAGTTCTTTGACCAACTGGGCATTGGCAGTAGTAATGTTTTATTGGATTATTATCATTTGGTGTCGTGCTGTTCTGAATCCAAATATTATATTTAGTCTGGCTTTTGTGTCTGGAACAAATCTGGCAACAGATGAGGTCTTGATAGTGCTGATTCACCCATATTTCATAATCTGGAGAGAGCTGGTTGTTTTCACCCTCTGAGCCAAACAGTTTGTTTCTGTGAGATGAATCTTCATTTGATGTGCGAGTTATCTGTCAGTGTCCGGTGATCTTTGATAGATTTGTCCCCGTATCCAATTGAGACATGCCGTCACAATCTTTAGCACTCCCATAAGTATATCAATGACGCAATTTGACTGAACAGTCTTAAAATATGCGTGCATACTGGTATTAATACCAGATACCTCTAATATTGGCAGGACGTCTCTAAAACTACGACCAACGACTGCATTGTCGTCTTGCTCCAACCATGTGAGCTTGTCTATGATGTTTTTGTAATGCTTGCATCATTTTAGCGTCCAGAGAATGGTCATACTGTGTTCAAAATGTAGCCATCCGGTAGAGTTATGCTCATGGCTTTAAGATAATTATGCTCCTTCTGGCCTCCGTAAGACATTCTCTGAAGCTTATTGAGAGCACTTTTTTTAAACATATGAATATATATACCCTACTCAAATGGTCAGGACGAAGGAACACTGGAACTATAGATTTATTCAATGCTTGTACTACAGCCTGAAAGGTTTTTTGAATACTAGACAGAGAAATGCCAAGAGCGAAACACTTAATTACAAGAGATATCAGTTTTTATCTTAACCCAAAACAGTAAAAGAGCATTTTGTGCAGTTTTGTTATATACTGAAGAAAGAAATGGGGCAAATTACATATGGATTTTGAGATCCTGTTCTTTGACCAACCTGTTCTAGCTTTGCAGCCAGGGTCATCCAAAAGACAAAAATTGAGAATGAATGCTGATTGATTCTTTGACAAGATGTACGAAACTTCTAAAAGGTCACCAATTCTTTCAGATGACCACCTTCATGATTGAGAGTTCAAAGACTCTCTTCCTTATAGGATAACCTGTGTACAAGGGTTTAGGTCATTGCCAATAAGATAAAATTAATTAATATTGTTAAAACAAAGACAAAATTTTATATGTGAACAGGATCCGTAAAACAGGTCCTTGATTGTTAAGAAAACAAAACTATTAGTGGATTCATCTTCAAAACGTTCTGTTTCAAATTCTCTTTAAGTCAGTTTATCCAAAAGCCATTATAGATTTTTTTTTACATTTCGTGTACCTTTACATTTATGAGATTTCGCGAAGATAGAATGGCGACCTTCACCAATACATTTACTCTTCATTATGAAATGAATATTAACAACTGAGTATGAAATATCCCCTAAAAGCAATGTAAGAAAATTACATTTGATCTCAAAATTGATTGTTAACAAAATATTTATCAATCACGTCAAGTGATGAAATAAATCGGAATTTGGAATTGGTTGTGATTTAAAATGCACTGATTGATTTATTGTAGGCTTGCAACGAATTCCGTAACCAATGAAGTGGACGCCAGGGAGGTGTCTTAGGCCCTCACCTATTTGGGCACAATGGGTACTTTGTGCGAAATGAATACTTTCCACCAAATTTTTTGACTGAATTTTTGCAAACCTATTTGAAATAACACCACTTCTTCATACTATGATACTTTTTGGTATACAAGATTAATATGAATGAAAAATCCTATATTTTACATTAAAATGTTCACAAAAGTTCGATTTAACTCACATTCTGGATGATAAATATATTATTACAGCACTACATGAAAGTAAACGTCCTTTCCCAAGTAATACGATGCAAAAAATACGAAATCGTATCGGTGTGAGAAATCGTGCTGTGAACGTCGCTATTTTAGCACGATTTCTCTCCCGGGTGAGAAATCGTGTCGGGGTGAGAAATCGTGTCGGGTTGAGAAATCGTGCCGTAACATGGGGTTACATTAGGAACAAACACTGTTTAAACATCTTCTATTTTACAGAACTAGTTTGTTAGAATGCTTACAGCATATCGTTTTCGTATGTGAGAAAATGCAGGAGCACACCCATTATATATATGTTGAAACAGATTTGCCGTGTAACGACTTATTTTATCATTTAGACATGGTACTAAACACGTGCTGTTAGGCAATTTAAAAATGAATGCAACTAATATAATTTTACCCTTTTTGTTATTCTCTTCCTATTTGATCTATTTGACGTTCCAAGCAACTGGAAATATGGCGATGATACTGTTTTAGAATACGAAAAACAATTTTATTAAACCAATCCGATCTAACAGCAGGCTACACATTTGTGATTGTGTTTTCCTTCGTAAAGATTGGAAATGAGTTTTAATCCTTGACTATATATGAGATAGCTGGGCTAATAGTTAATCAGTTATTGGACTTATCAGCGGTACGACGAATGAAAAATGAACATAAAAATAATAATAAAATTGAATATGTATAGATAGTACCTTAAGTGCATGAGTTATCAATTAAATAATGTGCGTTATCTATGAATAATATTAGAGCCATTTAGCATCTTTATGAATATTGATCGAACGTCTATTGTTAAAACTACGGGTCCCTTGATAGTATTTCAACGTATTTTTTTATATGTACTTGTTGCATTTATGTATTTATTGTAAAACATCTGTCATAATTCTTTAATGTTCAAAGTGAATGTAAATTAGTGGAAGAAATTAATTCGTGTCAGGAAATACTATTGCTAATAAACGTAAATGTCCATCTTCCCATTATATCTCAATATATATCCATTTTGTATGGTAACCCTTTTCGGTTCTTTAAAACAAATATATATATATTATTTCTAATATCTTATAGAAACTGCAGAAGTCTAAAGAAAAACATATTCATCTTATATTTTTGTACTTTTCTGAACAAAGGTAAATATCTCAATCAAGGTTGGGAGTACAGAAAAGAGTTACTTCCATTTTGATGGGAGAGAAACAAACAGGACATCTTGGTTTTCTTCCACTAATCTGGTGAAAAGTTTTCCAGACACCAGTTTGAAGAGCGACTTCAATGCAATTTCGGATGACCAGAATGGGAAAGCGTTCGATATGACAGGGTAATAAATCCTTATAACCATGTAATATATCAAGACTTTTAACGACGAAAGCTGTAGAAATTAATTTAGAGACTCTCTAATCATATTTAACAAATGTAACATGCTTTACAAATTTTTAAGTGATTTCAGAGGGAACATATTTCATATTGTTTGCAGCAAAAGAAAAATGTTCAGGGATTTTTTTGATATTTTATTGAAACCAAAGTCAATAATAGTATCAACATAATATACAAAATATTATAATTGTAGTCAGATGTTTTGAAATATCTTGACAAGGAGAAATTACTCAAAACAAAACATAATTTTATATTCTTCATTTCAGTATATTAGTTTTACTAAAATAATGTGTTTCTTTTTGTCATTTTGATATCTGTGATAACCTTCAATCCAATCATAAAACTCTTTAACAACGAGTACATCCAAGTGACATATTTAAGTTGGATAAACACCAATTGTGAGCAATAAGTACTAATGTTTCGTTTCCAGGATCGTGGGACGTCGTTTCTACATCAGTAGGGAACACAAAGGATGCGAAAATGATTTAGGCTGGTTTGCAGTTTTAGATGTACATAGAACAGCACCATGTCCATATGATGCCAACGACGCATACAATAAAGTGATTATCATGTATTCACCATTCAACAGATCAACCAACTGGTTATCTCTCTACAGTAAGTAAACCATGCCCCTCATTCCCGTGTTCAATTTCCAGGAATGAAGTATATTTCTGACCTTAGGTCCAGGTCGCAAAACATTGATGGACAACTGAGGGGATTGATTCCCTACGATAGTTAATTATGTTTTAGATTCTAAAATTATCAATGCTGGAAAACATTACATAGAATAGTGAACGATGTATGGATTTCGACAGGCCGTGTAACACCGACAAATCTGTGATCATGGAATTACACAGAATAATGAATGTTATATGTGTTTCTACTGCATGTTGTCGCATTACACTGATGACCTGGTGTTCGAGTATGACATGAAAAGGTGAAGGGACTATGACAAGCCGCGTTATACGTATGGATATGTATGAATGAAAGAGTGTAATCATATAGACGAAATAAAATTAACAGAGGAGTTTAGTAGGTTCGATATTGATTTACTAAATAGCGATATGAAACGGACTTTATGAGTTTTGTTAAATCTCGAAATCCAATCTCATGGCTTACAATAATTTTGCGTTTTCATCGTAGTCTACAGGATGGTTCTATTTTTTTAAGAAAGGGTAACGGGATTAACACATGTCCAAACATATGCTTACTTACGAACACGACTTTATATACCTTTAAGGCAATACAACGAATAAATGGCCTGGCAGGTGATTGTTGTTTAACTAAATAATAGCGAAATGAAAACTTGCATCATGAAGCAGACCTATATTCAGTGTCTTTGGCTCATGGGACCATTATCATGCATGAGCATGAATGATGTTCTCATGTAAAGGCTTTCTCTCGTGCGACAATCAAAAATGAATGTATGAACTTAAGTTTCCTTAAATCAGTGATAAAATCTAAAATTAAACCAAGGAATTTTGTGTTAGCACACATTATTAGTTTTAGGATAATACCGTTCCAGAGACAATGCTACTCTTATTTGGTTTTTATTTTAAGCTATTCGTTTTATATAAAACTCCCACCAATACCTGTCTTCTCTGTAGTTATTCGTTTTATATAAAACTCCCACCAATACCTGTCTTCTCTGTAGTTATTCGTTTTATATAAAACTCCCACCAATACCTGTCTTCTCTGTAGGCATTCGTTTTATACAAAACTCCCTACCACAACTTCTCTTCTCTGTAAACATTCATTTTATATAAAACTCCCTACAATAACTTCTCTTCTCTGTAAACATTCATTCCATATAAAACTCCCTACCATAACCTTTTTTCTCTGTAAACATTCATTTTATATAAAACTCCCTACCATAACTTCTCTTCTCTGTAGACATTCATTTTATATATAACTCCCTACCACTACTTCTCTTCTCTGTAGACATTCATTTTATATATAACTCCCTACCACTACTTCTCTTCTCTGTGGACATTCATTTTATATATAACTCCCTACCACTACTTCTCTTCTCTGTAAACATTCATTTTATATAAAACTCCCTACCATAACTTCTCTTCTCTGTAGACATTCATTTTATATATAACTCCCTACCACTACTTCTCTTCTCTGTGGACATTCATTTTATATATAACTCCCTACCACTACTTCTCTTCTCTGTAAACATTCATTTTATATAAAACTCCCTACCATAACTTCTCTTCTCTGTAGACATTCATTTTATATATAACTCCCTACCACTACTTCTCTTCTCTGTGGACATTCATTTTATATATAACTCCCTACCACTACTTCTCTTCTCTGTAAACATTCATTTTATATAAAACTCCCTACCATAACTTCTCTTCTCTGTAGACATTCATTTTATATATAACTCCCTACCACTACTTCTCTTCTCTGTAGACATTCATTTTATATATAACTCCCTACCACTACTTCTCTTCTCTGTAGACATTCATTTTATATATAACTCCCTACCACTACTTCTCTTCTCTGTAGACATTCATTTTATATATAACTCCCTACCACTACTTCTCTTCTCTGTGGACATTCATTTTATATATAACTCCCTACCACTACTTCTCTTCTCTGTAGACATTCGTTTTACATATAACTCCCTACCATAACTTCTCTTCTCTCTAATCATTCGTTTTATATATACCACCCTTGTTCCATCAGTAAATATTAGGAAGTTCTATAGTTAGTGTTGTACACAGTGTAATGGGCAGCAGAAACACGTTTATTTCTGCAGTGTAGGCTCCGTCCTGTTTTGTGAGACGGCCATATTGTAGTATTTATAAGTAGCAGCGTCGCCTAGCGGTAGTTTGTTTAAAGAGAAGGTCTCTTTAGCTCAGTGGTAGTGCGTCCGACTAGGAAGTATGGGATCGCGGGTTCGATCCCCGGTCGTAGCACACTAGTCTCTTTCCAGTTACAAATGATGTCCGTGGCCCCCTCTGTAGTGATAGGGAGCTAGAACCTGGGTTGTGGTGTTCGAGGGCGAACACATTTAAAAAGGGAGAGTAGTAAGGCAGAATTAATTATACACGGCAATATTGTGGTATATATATGTAGCAGCACCGCCTAGCGGTTGTTTGTTTAAAGGGAAGTTCCCTTTAGCTCAGTGGAAGAGCATTCGACTAGGAAGTCTGGGTTCGATCCCCGGTGGAAGTACGCTATTATATTTCCTGTTACAAATGCCCGCGATCTTCCCAGTCGGACGCTCTACCACTGAGCTAAAGTACTTATGCCATTCTCTTCGCCTCCCTCTATTTTGATATTTATATATTAATACAAGCATGATAATTTCACCTGATCAATAGCATAATACCAATTGTCCTTGCAGAATCTGATAGTGGCAGAGCAGACTTGCTAGAAATCTATGTTGACGGTAAGTGGTAAAATAATATGTTATTATTTTAGCATTTTTTCCTAGCATAATTGTGGTGCAATTTATTTTGACTACACACTTACTTTTCTATGATACATGTATATATTGTTTCACTTAATATGGTAAATATATTCTTTCGTGTGCATTATAGTACGTGCTTATTACAATTCGTTTTTATAACTAAATTTTAGATTCATAGTTTTGTCAGATTCATAGTTTGTCAGATTCATAGTTTTCATAGTTTGTCAGATTCATAGTTTGTCAGTNCATAGTTTGTCAGAGTTTGTCAGATTCATAGTTTGTCAGTTTCATAGTTTGTCAGATTCATAGTTTGTTTGATTCATAGTTTGTCAGATTCATAGTTTGTCAGATTCATAGTTTGTAGTTCATACGGCACAACAAACACGTCAGTCTACACTCTGATATAAAGTGCAATTATATCTAGAATACGTACCAGTCAACGTCAATGCAAGGCGCCCTATATAAACACAGACCGTGTAATACAGCAGTCACGCAGGGATCATTGTTTAGGTCTCATTCTTAATTTATTATCTCATTGTTTGTGTTGTTTAAAACCTCAGCTTTCTTTTGTATGAAATGCCATTGACAGGGTGGACTGCCATAGTTATGTGATTTTTATAATTGCACATAAAATAATAACGAGCTATTTATATTCCCAGTCAACTTCCACCAGATCACAAAGCATTGACAGTCATAACCACCGTCGTCTCACTTGGTAATACAAGTTATAGATATAATTGAACTCTGAATGTCCTATGGTCACAAAAGGTTCATACAGAACGACACGGTAGAAATGAGATAGTATAACGAGCCAATAACATACCATACCACACTTGGATATGAGTTTGTCTTTACGACCCATCAACACAGAAGGTCATACAGTATCACACTTAGATATGAGATAGCGTAACGACCTATCAACAAAATGATGGTCATACCGTACCACACTTAGATATGATTTTGTCTTAACGACCTATCAACACAGATGGTCATACAGTATCACACTTAGATAATATTTTGTCTTTACGACTCATCAACAAAGTAAGGTCTGCAGGACCACGCGTTGATATGATTAAGTCTTAACGACCAATCAACACAGTAGGTTTATACAGGACAAAACTTATATATAATTCAGTTTTACCGGCCCATCAACCCAGTAAGGTCATACAGGACCAAACGTATATTTGATTTTGTCTTACCGGTCCATCAACACAGTAAGGTCATACAGGACCAAATGTATATTTGATTTTGTCTTACCGGCCCATCTACACAGTAAGGTCATACAGGACCAAACGTATATATGATAAAGTCTTAACGACCTATCAACACAGTAAGGTCATACAGGACCAAACGTTGATACAATGTATGATTGAGTCTTAACGACCAATCAACACAGTAAGGTCATACAGGACCAAACTTAGATATGAGATATAATAACGACCAATCAACACAGTAAGGTAATACAGGACCAAACGTTGATATGATTATATCTTAACGACCAATCAACACAGTAAGGGCATACAGGACCAAACGTTGATATGATTAAGTCTTAACGACCAATCAACACCGTAAGGTAATACAGGACCAAACGTATATATGATTGAGTCTTAACGACCAATCAACACCGTAAGGTCATACAGGACCAAACGTATATATGATTGAGTCTTAACGACCAATCAACACAGTAAGGTCATACAGGACCAAACTTAGATATGAGATATAATAACGACCTATCAACACAGTAAGGTCATACAGGACCAAACGTTGATATGATTGAGTCTTAACGACCAATCAACACAGTAAGGTTATATAGTAGGGTCACACTGTACATTTGATACTGTGTTGCCCTATCAGACGAATGCATAAATGGCATTTACTGAGGAGGAAATACTGAGGAGGACTTCTTGGTTGATTATTTCCATGGGAACAAACCGGAATTTATTGAGGATCTTAGCAAAATCCTTGCTAAGTCCTTCAATACGAGTTTCAGATATATCGACAATGTATTTTCTTTTAAATAACTTGATACATATAGAATAGTACATGCCCTTTTCCGTATCGTAACAACGGCCCTCGGGCTGATATTGGTCGAGAGTTGATACTGGGTGTGATATGGAAAAAAAGGCATGTTTTATTCTGTTTATTACATACTTACTTATAAAATACGAATATATCTAATATCTTATGATCTGTTTTTCTTTTGAAATATTGAAACACGAAAAAAAACCATAAAAAGGGGTGTGATACGGGTTTTTTTGCGGGCTGATACGGAGAGGGCTGATTCGAGATTTGGGGTGTGATACGGTGAGGGCTGATATGGGTAAGAGCAATTGTGTCGTATCGCATATACAAAAAACCGGTTTTTATTAGTAAGTATGTAATAAAATGTTTGAATAGCTTATACAAAAAGAATGGTAGGTTAGTTTCTGTGAGCAGTTCAAACGTAATCTCTGTTTAATCATATGTTTTAAGAGGTTGTCAATATTGGATACATCTCATGATGTCATTGTCTCTTACATCGAGTTAACATATGTCATTGTATCCAACATCGAGTACTTACTGTTTTAGCGAAATTAACGACTACAACTACTTTTGAGACGGCAACCTCAACTCCAGTGACGTCAACAGCAACTCAAGATACAACGACTACAGCTTTAGATACAACAACAACCCCATCAACCTCAACTCCAGTGACGTCAACAGCAACTCAAGATACAATGACTACAGCTTTAGATACAACAACAACCCCATCAACAGCAACTACAGTGACGTCAACAACAACTCAAGATACAACGACTACAGCTTTAGATACAACAACAACCCCAACAACAACAACTACAGTTTCGTCAACAACTCAGGATGGTACAACACCTCGGTACACAACAGCTACAACCGCCGAAGCCATAGCGACAACATCAGGTAATGTTTCCAACTAAAATATACCTTTTGATGCGGGCCAGTGAAAATGTTCACGATGTTTAAATGCTTCTCTGCATGCCCGAAATGTACGTCATCCGTCACAAAAGTCTAAAAACCACATTTGGAGAGAATAGATACTACGTATACCATTAGTTGTACCACTGAATGAGTCCTTTCTCGATGCAATATCTTATTAGCTTACCAAGCGTTAGAAAAGAAAAATAGATATCACAACCAGCTGCAACTTTACCCAAATGACGTTTTGCACGTATCAGTGCTGTAAACAAATCCTGAAGCAGGGTGACGTTATGAAGGAATGTTCTAATTAAAATCCTAATTATAGACTGTAGGGCAAACTTATGGATCCCCGTACCACTGCAAAATAATGTTTTATCCCGCATCGGTAAATCATAACTTAAGAAACCCAACCTTCCCTGTACTTAATGAGAAATAATAAAGATGAAATAAGCAACACTTAATCAACCACACTGTATGAGTGTGAAAACAATAGTGGGCCAATACCGCGATTCGAGCCCAGAACTTCAGATTGTAACACCATTGCTCTAACCGAATGAGTAACCTGGGTAACGGAAATATACAGTTATATCTTAACGGAAATTAAGGGGATGTTGCTGTATATAGAAAAAAAAGTACAGTGGAACAGAGACCCGTAAAGGGGTTTTAGTTATGGTTGTAATAAGACAACACTTTTCTTCTGCAGCGTTTTTATCATCCTTTTGCAGCATCACCATAACATCATGTGAGTGAACCGACATATCTAGCTCCTACTGCGCGAAATGTTGTCCGGTCTAAATATGTAGTATTCCTT